ACACTTGTTCATTAGTGTCTCTGCGTATGAATTGTCTAGAGACGCGTCGATTAGCTCGAAGTTTCCTTTCGAGTCACGTTTAAATCTTCCATCGAATGCGTTACAATGCGAAGCTCCAATCGTGTGTGCTCCTGAAAATGGAATTGAAAACATTTTGAGTGACTAAAAGCATTTTGGTGAAAACTGATAAAGGACTTTCAAGAAACATTGATACCAGAGAGGACGACAAGATCTTGAATCGACAAGCCTTTAGATGAGAAAGCATCGATCATTTGATCGAGACTGAAATCTGTATTGATGAATGTTCGGTCTGACGTCTTCAGCCACCGATACTTTCCCGTCTCTCCTCCCGGTCGGAATCTCAACCACCGGTCCTCCAGCCTTTCCCACCAAAACAACAAACACTCACAACACAAATAAAGAAAACAGAGATACTAGGAATGACCGGTTTACCATCGGTTTAATTACTTTTCCAATCCGGTTATCTTTGGTTTGCCTAAGTTGTCATCTCCTAAAGATTGTAAGTGGAATTGGAATTGTTTCATTTGTATCAAATATACAACAGAAGGATTGTTATGAGAGAAAGTTCAAATTGGTTTCATTCAAATCGGTTTATTCGATTCGATTTCGGATATGAGAACCGAAATGGTTTATGTTCTTTTCGGTTTAGTTTGGATTGGTTACACCGGATTAGAGCAATATATAAAGACTTGAACTTGAAAGTGAAAAGTGGTGAAAATGTTACAGCTTCAATGGCGTCTCGAGCAGCAAGTGCAACAATGTCAGCGCAAGAAACAGTGGCCGGACAAAAGATCTCGCCGGCATTCTTAGCTTTCTCGATGACTGAGAATCCTCCAAGTGACGCGTTTCCGGGATCACTTCTCTCTCTCTGTGTTATTCCCTTGTATCAACACTGATGCATCACAACCCTTGCAAACAACAAGAACAAACCAAACATCAAAATCTCATTGAATTTTGTCTGTAATGATTGTGATGAGTATAGGGCTGATGAGTATAGTGAAGTGCATTATATATATATATACCTGGACGAAACAGTCGTGGAAGAAGAGACGGAGGAGTTTTCCGGGGATAGTTGGATCGGAGGATGAAGCAGATCTAACTGTGTTTCTGTCAAGAAACTCTGCTACAGGACAAGAACCGGCGTAGAAGTTAAAGGAGAGGTCAGAGGAGGAAGTAAGAAGACCAGACAGAAGCAGAAGGACATGAAGGAGAGATGTATAGTTTTGTCCATAAGAGGCAAACTTTGATGCCATATTTGTTGTCTCTGTGTTTTGACTCAAGGAAAGTTACAAATGACAATGAGCTTATTTGAAAAGAAGAACATTGAGAGAAGAGAGAGGAATCTTGAGGTTGAGTAAATTAGACAACTGTTCTTTGCATTTGATGTTTGTGTCAGAGAGAGAGAAATTAGTTGAGGTGATGAAACTGAGTCAACGCATTAATGAAGAATCGTTGATGGTTGTGTTTAGTTGAATCTATCCATGGGGATCACCAAGATCTTGAGCAAATCCGGATTGGTTTTGGGAAAACTAAACGTCTTTAAGGTTTTAAGTGAATCCGACATATCTATGGTTTTGTCGGAGAGTAGTTACTTCCCAAGCGTCCAATGCATGGCAGAGAAGTTGAGGAAGAAAAAGCACTCAATTTTCTACATATATTTCCAACTTTTTTTAATGTCTAAAACAAACACTTTTTCTGAGAAAGTTTTATGACTCACTATTCTTGAAAGTTACACAAATAAAACTAATGCTAGTAGTAAAGAAGATGTAGAAAAAAGTCTAAATCCTTACTACTGTGCTTGTTTTCCAGCTTGGAGATTAAGATTCCAACCATTGTAAAAGACAGAATCATACCTCATCTCTTGTAGGGTCCTCCATTTTTGCTTCCTCGATCTCTTCTAATTCATCAATGTCATCGATAGGTATTTCTTCCCTATCATATGTCGAAAAACCTGCAATACACAACAAGACATGTTTGATTCTTGACATTGCACAAAGGCCAGAATATGTCTGATTCTCTCACATCAAGCCATAACCATTACCTGATGGAGTCAGTGAAGCAGGGATCTCGTTTCTTCCTCCTGTTACCGGTGATGAATCAAGGAGGTATGGGAGACCAAGGAGCTCTAACAAAGACAGTGTCTGGGGATTCTGCGGGATCTCTACATAAATTCCACAAGAAATACAACATTTTAAACCAATTATCTGTATTGTACTATACAACCTAATAGATCTCAATCGGTTATTCATCAACTTTACTTAATCCTCTATATCCAGTACATGAACTTACCAGGTATGGAATCAAAGATACGTTGTGAGGGGTTATATGCAGGGACTGTCCTTGTAAAGTCAAAAGGTTTAAATTGCCTTTCTTCTAGCTTCTTCCTCACCCACTCGCGGCTCTCTTGTATATCCATTACAGCAGCGCTGTTTTCGCAAAACAAAATATGTCAGTAGAAAGATGAATGGAAGAATATACAGATGTCTTGGTACGTAGTTTTCTCAAGATAGTATACCTGAAATTTGCATATCTGCTTGTTAGCGGGAAACTAGAATTGAACTTTCTTGTTATTGCTAGCCACTCTTCATCYTATAGGATCTCAAAAGGRCCAGGCTCTGATTCGATTTCAATAATCTAATGAACATCCTAAGAAATTATAAGATATTCCTTTGTTTCAGAAGAGCAAAGCATAAAGTGGACAGGAAGGAAGAAGAACCTGTAGAAACTTTCTCCCTGGAAGGCATTTATCGAGGGCAAGAAACTTTGTCACTGAGCCATCYTTRCCYTGTTGAARAGAAGCAGCAAATTTGCAGTGTAAGTGAGCTGAAAACCAAWACCGAGGCTTCAGTTTTTCTAGCAGTAGAGCCGCAGGTTTACTTCCAAGAGTTCTCGCCTCAATCTGTAATAAATTTGGTCCAATTAATTGCAATCATCTCAAAACACAATGAAGACGTAAACGCAATTCCCCAAATTTATCACATTTACCTCTTGACGGAAGTATGGTTTTTGCTTCATAAGTGATTTTGAGTCTCCATAATCAGTGATTCCAACAGGCCAATCATGTGAAAGAAATATATCAAGCGGCTCTTCAAMTTGCATCAACTTCTGGACATCATACTCACGAACATGATAGACCGATCTAATGGTGCTTTCGTTATATGGCGGCCGCTCAAAGTGTCCTACTCACAAACAACAACAAAACAAAATACTGTCTAATCTGGACAGTTCCAATAAAGACACAACTCAGAAATCCAAAGTTTTTCCTATAACAAAAGTTGAAATTTGGTTCTTCATCTTAGAGATCACGAAGAAACAAAGTGAACAAACCTGAGCGGTAATGTCGCTCATTGTAAATACCCGAAAGACCTCCAATTCGTAGATTACCGAACCTCACAACCCCGGCATAACCAAGAAAGTAAATATTGGTGGCAGCCCATCCTCCATAATACCTAGAACAACAACCAGCAACCATCAAGAAAACATATTGATCTCAGAATTCCAAATCAAGACCGGGTAAAAGTAGTAGAAAACTTACAATTCCCACAAGTAATTGGAAGCCTCGTGATTCCCACCGATGAAGATCGTTGGAATCGGGGCAACTTCTTGGCCGGAGTAGTATTTCCAGAAGGATTTCATATCTTTGTATTTCATAGGTACGTTAAGGCTATCCATGTCTTTCTCATTTCTGACAGCCTAAATTTTTATTATCCAAGACGAAATTTACACACCAAAGAAGCAAAATCGAATCTTTTCACACCAAAGAAGCAGAATCGAATCGGAATTTCACCTCCGAGTAAACTAACTAATATTCCATACCTGGAAATCGCCGCAACAGAGGAGYAGATCGACTTTGGTGTTGTGAATCTGTTCATGATGTTGAATTGTTTTGTACACATTGTCAAGATCTCCATGCATACAACCTTCAATAGCAATCTTCATCTCTCTCTCTCTCTGGATTCAAGGGTTTCACGGATTATACGAGCTCAACTTTCATGCTCCTGAGTTAAGAAAATAACAATAAAAAGACCCAAAAACACAAACTCAGCTCACTGTAAGAGTAAATCAATCAAAGCTTAAAACTTTTATAGCATTGACATATTTACAACTATGTATAAAGACTATATTTCCAGCGAGTAATAATTAAGACAATTTTTCAGATGGTAACACTATCTATAAAGCAAAGGGCTTAGACACTCAAGATCAAACATGCAATTCCTCACAACAAAGATAAAAACTCCAATTTCTATATGTATTCGTACCGTTGTTATCTCACGCGAAACGAACAAAGGATTAGTGGGTTTTTTTCCTGAATAAGCCGCAAGGATCAAGAGTCTGACGAATTGAGGGAAGAGCAGAGAAGAAGCGGGGATTTAGGGTTTGTTTTCGAGAAATCAAATATCGCAGCTCGAGAGAAGAAGACTGAAACGACGCCGTTATAAGTAAATTAGCGAAACCACTAAATAACCACACCAGTTTATGACTATGTGAGTTGTTTTCTTGTTAAACGGTAGAAATTTGGAATTTAGGTATTCGATAATTGGGATTAACTATTAATAATATCGCGTTAAAAATGATTTTTACCACTTTTTATAAGATGATGAACAAGTAAAATTAAATATTGACTCTTAATTTTTAATTTATGTCCTTTCATTGTCGAATTCTCCATTTTTCCTCTTAGTTCTCTCTGTGCAAGTAGTAATATCTTTATCACTCTCCTTTTGCTCATGTTGAGCAAATTTGGATCAAGGCTACATCAATAGTTTGGGTGTAGCGGTGATGAAGCTTCCTCGGATTTGGTGTTTCTCGACGGAATTTTGAGGTGGTTTTCATTAAAAATTTGGTTGATTTCGACGTTTTGTTGATTGGATTTAAGATCGACAGAAGGGAGGAAGATTCTCATCGCCTCGTGACTGCTTAGTGGTGGTTAATCGAAGTTTGGTGGTGGTCCGACAAATATTGACGGAGCTTCTTTGTCTTCTCGCGTGTTCTGGAGAATATTTTATCCTAACACGTGTCACATGCTGAATCATAATAATTGTCTAATTAGCTTAGATAAAATTATGATTCAGGTTTGTCAATCTTTTGTAATCCTCTCTTTGGCCTCCTGTAAAAACTCTTTGGGCTTCTACAATAAAACTAGTTGTCGACCAAAAAAAATATTGACTCTTAAAACCACTAAATTGTTTTTTTCTTTTTTCCTTCAGCGAAACAATTTTATTGATTTCAAATCGAGGTTACAACATTGGTATAAGAATTTTTGAAAAACGAATTATTATATAAACAAATATATGCGTGAAAAAGATACAAGAAATAAAATGAATTTGACAATACTTTTCTTAAAAAAAAATTCATTGCTAAATTATCATTCACAACAAACAAAAACCCACTTAAATAAGTTTTATAATTAGTTGTACTCTATTTCTTAAAATATTAAAAATGAAACCAACAGATATGAGATCCAATTTATCGTAGTCGATTAGTTAACATGTTGGTTAACCACGGAAAAAAAAATCTTTTAGTATTGAACGAGAAAAAGGGAAATAACATCCTGGAAATSCAATTTTTTTCTAGATTCAAAATGTTAGATCTTAAAATAGTTTTAGCTAGATTCGTCGTAGTTTCTTTTCTTTAAATCATCAATTGTCTTTAGATTTTCATTTCATAAAATAAAGCATGTGAAAGGCATGCATGACCATCTTTCAGTTTTCACACGATGTGTGCGCCTCTTTTTGTTCTTTCGTCGAACGGACCAATAACGAATGTCGAATTCTATTCCACTACGAGTTCCTTAGACTTTTGTCCTTTATCTATTTCTAAAATAAATATACAGTTTGGAAGCACTAATTTAAACATGTGATACATTGGTACTTATGGATTTAAAACTTCCATTAATGCAACAACTCGTTTGAATAGAATTATAACTCTTTAAAAACAAAACAAAAAAGTCAGTCTCGTAGTTTATTGAATCACTTTATCAACGAAACTATATAGTATATGACTTGGTCGAGTTCTTTATCATTTAAAAGTTAAAATGTATTTAATCAAAGAATATATTAGAAGTCTCACATCTAAAATATCTATTGGTTTTAAATGGCAAACGTTCATTTTGTGAATTATGATGAATAGTATATTTTATGTTTTCACATTTTAAAATCGTGAGTCCGTTATTTTTTTTTTACCATTTAGAGCATTCGTCAAATTTCAAGTTTTTGAAAAGTGACTATAGTACCAAAGGGGTGGTAGTCTAAGGGAGTTGGTTTCTTTGTGTCCCAGGTTCAAACTTCCTTTGGGACAAAGAGTTATTCTTTTAATCAGAATTTCTAAACACTGTCTCCGTGTACCGAGGAAATTATGAGCCAAATATTTGGAACTCCCACGGTTTATAGAAAAAAAGAAGTAAAAAGTTAATCTATGATTTCGGACTAATATAAACACGTGTTTCTAATATAATCGTTCTTTTTAAAGAATAAAAAAGCATAAATTATTACAAAAACA